GTGCTACTGCTAGTGCTGAATAGGATGCTGCCCACTGTTCTCCGAAGTGCCCAGATTTAAGTCTGGCCTGTTCCAGAAACAAAATTTATTCCCTCCAAAAAGCTGAACCATTTTTAAATATTAAAATATTTAATGAAACTGATTTCTTGCAAGCACAAAACTGTTTTCACATTAATACATTTGCTTGCTTTAGCATTTTCCCAGTTAGAAATAAAATACTTTTTTGATGTGAAAGAGCTGAATCCAAGAGAACTAAACTAACCCCATGCAGAACTCCAAATTATGAGACACTCTCATACTCAACCCTCCAAAAGAAGGAAGTTAGAGCTGGATCTGTAAACATCCACAGGCAACAAAGCTGCTCCTTATCAACTTCTTCTAAAATGGGCTGAACATACCTCCTTGAACTACCCATCAACTGCACCTTTCCATTGTGCCTCAGTCTCTTGGCGCTCATCCAGCTCATTGCTGGCTCCAGACAGCAATCCAGCACTTCCAGCTCTTCACCTGCCTTTGCTGTAATAGAGAGATGGAACTGGATGTAATCGACCTATTGATGACAGGACACTCACCCCAATGGAGAGATGGAACTGGACACAATCTACGTATCAGTGATGTGACAGTTCTTGGGTGACCTCACTCAGCTGTTTCATGGAGATGTTTACAAGCACAGAGGACCACTGTGGCTGCAAGTTTCTTTGAGCACTGTAGGACCCTTTTTCATCTGAACCCTAATTCTTGGGTCTTGCATTTGCAGAATCTCCTCTTCATTAGGAATCTGCATTCCCCAGGGTTCAGAAGGCTCAGCTTGGCTGTCCTCTAAAAGTTAAGAAGACAGCTTGGTTTCCTCCTCTCTGCCTCTGCTATTCTCACCGTTCTTCTGCTCCCATTTCCATGGCCACTTGTCAACACTTCCCACCTGTCACTCCCCATCTGACTCAGAATCAGTTCCCATGCCTTCCTGGGGTGTGTTTTCCCCAGGCAAAGCAGGAGAAACTCTCACTTGAATTCCTGGAAAACTACTGCTGGCCAGTGTTGATAATACTGGCTCAGATGGAGCGTCCTATGTTCCTAAAAGCACTGGAAGCAGCTTGATACCAGGGATAATCAGTGGTTCCCATTTTCCTGTCCTTCTTCCAGTGCAGAAAGCACCATCACTGCCAACCCCACTATAACACCACTAGTGGGGATGATACTTTACAAAGAACTAGAGGGCAGATCCCTGTCCTGAACCACTCGCAATGTAAAATGCGATAAACAGAAAACAACAGAGGAAGAGGGGAGGCAAGAAAGCTGCAGTAAACAGGGGAAGAACACATTTCAAGCTACGAATTCTTAGACTTGGGGCTAAGCTACATGCAACATTAAATACACAGCATGCCACTGATCATTACCATTTGTTGATCTTAGTCTAAACATGCAGAGACCTGACCCAGAGCTGAATCACTGGTGGCAGAGCTTTGAACTTTCCCACCTGGCCACTTGCCTCCACACTCAAATTTATCACTTTAACACAGTATCAATGTGGATACTAAGAAAAGTGGAAAGAACCTTCCCTTGCTGCTAACAGATTTCTTTTTTAATGTATGCAGGCAATACACCATTTGGGGCTTTACCTGTAAATCCTAGCACTTTAAGTCAAAGCCAGAAACAAAAAAGCAGCTCCTGCAAATGAAACAAGATCGGTGCTGCCTGCGCTATCCTTCAAGGACTGAAAAATAGATTTTTCCCTAAGTGACATTGCCTCCTTTCGTGCTCTGTTGCAGCTGAGCTTGGCCTCACATTACACATGGGCTAAGAATGTTCCTGATCTAGTGGCCTCAGGGACTGGGACAATGTACTCTGCAGAAGGAGACCTTTTTCCTACCTTGTCCATCCCCCGGGAATCAGTAAAGCTCATGAGGAATGCTCCTAGGCTTCTGCGCAGCTGCTGGTTAACATCTGGGGAAATACTGTTTGCACAGGGCAGTGAACACCACTCTTCCCAAATGATGAGAAAAGGGAGCTTAGGGAGTAACCAGTTGCTGCATGCAAAGCGTTGTGTGTGGAAATTGCATCATCTTGCCTTGCTGTTGCTTTTGCCTTTCAGGTCCAGTATGGATTTTTTCAGCACGATCTTGGGCATCTTTCAGTCTTTCAGAACACCAAGTGGAATAAACTGGGTCACTTCATTGTGATGGGGGTGCTTAAGGTAAGCATCTATGACTGGGAGAAGAAAGACTATTTCTAGCACTGGTGATGCTAATGATGGCAATGAGCATTATACCTTTCTATAGCTCATTTCAACCATTCAAAGGGCTTCAAATAGGGGATCTCATTCATCCACACAACAACTCTGTAAGGTAGGCCAGTATTCCTATCGCCACATTGCAGATAAATTAGGCTGATCTGCAGAAAGAGGGGTTGTTTTAAAGTCACCTTACTAGCTTAATGGCTGTGGTTAAGATCTGAACTCATCCAAGGTGCAGACCTCTGGTCCCAGCTCCAAGATCTTGCAAGCTCAGAGATGGAAAGCCAACAGGTGAGACCCTTCCCCATCTCCCTCACAGCCTGTGTGGAAAAAAGCATTCTGGCTGCTTCTCACCCTGGAGGTCGCAACTGGGCCTCAGAGGTGGGGAAAGGAGTTTTGACAGGGTGGGGAAGGAAGGTTTGCTGATTCTTACTGGCATCCCAGCCTCCTTCCTTCCCCCTCCCCAGTGCTTTATCTACCGGGCCAAAACCAGACATCTATATAAAATTAGGGCATGAGGAAGCCACCACAGCTCACTCGGGGCACAGGTTCCACATAGGACTTTGAGTGCAAAGCCTTATGGGCATCAAGGGTGGTGATGATGATGGTGGTGGTGGTGGTGATGATTACATTACATTACATTACACTTCTATAGCGCCCATGGCCAAAGATCTCCGAGCAGTTCTCAACATTTAAGTGACCCATCCAGATTTCAACCAGGCCTGTCCCTGCTAGCTTCCAAAATGTTGGTAGGCTCAGGCACTTCAGGCCATATGAAAGCTATATGATAGGGTAAGCTATATGTTGGGGGTGATGAGATTGCACCCTAAGTCACTGCAGTCCCCCACACCAGCAAGAGCCTATATACCTCAGCTGAAGAATTATGGCCACACTGTTGTTTGCTTGGTAAAGGGCAATGTGTTGAGTCCCCAGTTCAGCAGGGACTCATGACTGGAGAATCACTGGGGTTCCTAGACAGGAGTAACTGCTGACAAGAGCTGGCATCACAACTGCGCACTGTCCCTTGTGGTTCTTCTCCAGCAAAGAGGCATGCTGCAGGGACTGAGCAGAAAGATATGTTTTCTTCCTTTCCAAGTCTCCCACACTTTCAAAAACCATTAACTGGCTTTGAAATACATCCTGATCGATTTTGTTAGGCCATGTTCCTTTATTTTCACATTGGTTTGAGCTGCCTTTTCCTAAGTGTGCATGATGTGATCTGGTGCATGCTGAAACACTAGAAACCTCAAATTTCCTAGCCACTCAGCCTAACTGATGAGTTCTTCAGAAGTTCCTTTTTTTCAGGTTGGGCTGTAGGATCTGGGTCTTTCTGGAGATATGTGTTGAACTGAATCCTTGTTACTTCAAAACAAAAAAAGCGAGGGAGTGTTTGTTTCTCTCTCACACCTATAGCATTATATCATGAATTTTAAACAACCATTTCCACTATCTACTTCCCAATCTCCTTCTCATGACTTTCCTCAGACATCCTTTCAAACGTGTATAATCATGTATAGAAAATGCAGATTTACAATGCATAATCACAAATTACCAGTTACAATATCCAGAAAGCAAAAGTCCAAAAAGTAATAATCTACTATCCAAATACATTTCTTCCCATGAAACTCAAATAAACTCATTGCCAATTTTGGCCAGGTTCCTTCTGCTACTTCATGAAGTACCACTGGTTCCTTTTGATTATTATTTTTGAAAGTTTTACATATCTTAGCTCTTCTGTTTTTATATACAAACCTGGCCAAAAGATTAATGTTTCAAGATATTCTTTTACACAATTCAAGTCTCAAATTACTTTCAGGAATTATTTCCAACACTTCTTTTTGCAACTTTTCAAGTTTATTGAAGTTTACATTTATCTATTTATTTATTTAAAAAAATATACCACCCAGAGGTCAAGGCTGTCTGAGCTGTTAACAAAAGTTAAACGCACATAAAAAAGAAAGAAAAACAATATAAAACAATTAAACCAGAGCAACTGCAATTGTTCTATCATTCCTAAATATTAAACCATCATGCACAATTAATTCATCTCTATATTTCCAATATGGTTTAAGTTCTTCAGGAATTTTTCTTTTCTAGCAATCTTGACATAATATTTTTTTTATTCTTGTGAAATACCATCTTCCAATGTTGCTAACTGAATCAGCTACAAACAATAACAAACTTGCAGCAGCATCTACTTCGGTATTAAGCACTTCTGTCTTCATATAAACCTGTGATACTGCATCAGCTATTTTCAACTCTTTATCTGGTTTATATATTACCTTCAGAGGATATTTTGGTAATAAACAGGCATCTCTGAACTCTTGGAGAAGCATAAATGTTTGAAAAGTTATAGTTGTTTAGAGTCACTTTCAAGTATAATCTACCATAGATAGCTAGATAGATGGATTCTAGTCCAAACAACTACAATGGCTATCATATCCTTTTCTACTTGTACATGTGGTTACTGACTCTCATTCATAGTTTTAGAAGCATATGTCATTGGTAATCTCCCTGTACGATGACCTGTGCAGGGAGAGGGGCAGGGGGAGTGCGTCCCTATTGGTTCTCCTGGACCTCTCGGCAGCTTTCGATACCATCGACCATGGTATCCTTCTGGATAGGCTGGCTGACTTGGGAGTAGGAGGCACTGCGTGGCTCCACTCCTACCTCGCTGGCCGATTCCAGACGGTGGTGCTGGGTGACTATAGCTCTGCACCATGGCAGCTTTGCCATGGAGTTCTGCAGGGCTCTATTTTGTCCCCCATGCTGTTTAACATCTACATGAAACCGCTGGGAGAGGTCATCAGGAGGTGTGGGCTGTGGAATCATCAGTACGCTGATGACACCCAGCTCTCACTCTCATTTACATCTGCTCCAGGTGAGGCGGTGGCTGTACTGAACCACAGTATGGTGCCTGGCCGAGGTAGTGGGCTGGATGAGGGCCAATACACTGAGCCTCAATCCAGATAAGACGGAGGTCCTGTTGGTGGACGGTGCGGGTCTCCAGGTAGGTGATTTTGACCCAGTTCTGGATGGGGTAGCACTCCCTCTTAGGGACAAGGTCCGCAGCTTGGGTGTACTCCTTGATCTAGAGCTGTCACTGGAGTTCCAGGTGGCGGTGGTGGCAAGGAGCACTTTCCTGCAACTCTGACTGATCCATCAGCAGCATTCTTACCTGGATGAGCACTCCCTAGCAACAGTGATACATGCTCTGGTAACTTCCCGCTTGGATTACTGCAACGCGCTCTACGTGGGGCTGCCCTTGAAAACGGTCCGGATACTTCAGCTGGTACAGAATAGAGCTGCCAGGCTGCTGATGGGGACCGGCCATTGCTCTCACATAACGCTGGTCCTCTACCAGCTCCACTGGCTCCCAGTTGAAGTCCGGGCCCAATTCAAGGTGCTGGTTTTGACCTATAAAGCCCTAAATGGCATGGGACCAGGATACCTGAAGGAACATCTCTTTCCTTACATGCCCTCATGTTCTTTAAGATCTATGGGAGAAGTCCTACTTCAGGAACCCTCCCTAAGAGAGGTAAAAAGGTCATCAACTCGGAGTAGGGCCTTCTTTGTTGTGGCGCCCAGACGCTAGAATGTACTCCCCAGAGAGGTACGCATGGTGCCAAGTTTATACTCTTTTCGGTGTCAGGCCAAAACCTTTTTATTTAAACAGTATTTTAAACTTTAATAGTTTTTAAGTTTAGTCACTCTGTTTGTGATTTATTGTTTTGTTCTGTTTTATTATTTATTGAAATTGTTGTTTTAATTGTCTTTTTAAATATTGTAAGCTGTCCTGAGATCTTGTATAATAGGACGGCATACAAAAGCTTTTAATAAATAAATAAAATAATCCAACTTTTAACAAAGCTGCTTCTAATCCTGTACTTCTTATGTCAGCTGATAAGGCAACAAGCTCTCCAACACAACTGTATCTCAGTGCAGGAGCTTTTGTTAATCTCCTTTAACTCATTATAGACATTGTCATGGTCTTTGTCCATTCCTATTCCACCTCTTGAATTAGAAGCTGTTTCAAACTAGTTGACAATGTCAGTGTAACAAGATTTGGAAAAAATAGTCAAATAACCACACCCAAGAATCTCTGTAGCTCTTCCTTATTTTAAGGGCTTGACATTTCAATTGCTTCAATTTTGGTTTTATCAGGTTTTATTCCTTCTGCTGTTATGTCCCAAATTATTCAATCAACCATTGAAAATTTGCATTTCTCTCTATTGAATTCAAATTCTTTGCTTTGTACCTTTCTGAAGCATGTATAAATCTTTTATCATATTCTTGTATCTTTCCCCATACCAATATATCATCAGTATAACATATAGCTCCTTCTAATTCTTCAGACACTTGCTATATCACCCTTGGATATTTTTCAGGTGCAAATGAAATATCAAATACAATTCTGGTAAATCTGTATCTACCAAAAGGTGCATTAAAAGTACATAATCTGGACCTCTTTTCATCCAGCTATATCTGCCAGAATCCATTACTAGCATCCAACACAGAAAACAATTTTGCACTTGCCAGCCTGCTTGTTAATTTTATCTATAGATCTTTATTCATATCCCTTGGATCCAAACAATTCTTATTTGCTCTCTACTCTACCAGATTTAGTTACAATCACTAGTGGATTTACCTGTTCAGTAGGTTCTTTCACTTTATTTATTATATGTATATACCACCCTATAGCCCTCTTTAAGAATCACATCAATTTGCTCACATTCTTCTAAGTTCTCTTTCTGCCTGCTCCTTTACATAACTGTTATTTACAGGAAGCAATCACTGCCAGTGTTATCTGTAGATCCATTTTAATTATCTGATAAATTAGGAGATATCTTAATCTGTAAAGCACATCTGCATAATGCTTGTATATTTCCTTGCCCTAACATATTAATTTTCAGTAGCTCTAAATCCTTTAAGCCCAAGACTGTGCTTCAAAATCTACTACAATCAGTCTACAAATCTACTTTACAATTCGTAACACACTTCTCTAGCACGTCCAACCTGGTACCAGCTTTAATTAATTAATCAATTTTAATACCTCCTAATAGCCAAAGGCTCTCTAGGCAGTTAGTAAAAGTTAAAAACATATAACAAGAAAAACAAAGGTAACATATATACAATAAAACAATAAAACCACTGCAACTGCAATCAAATTGGCACAAAGGTAGAGCAGCAGTATAGAAACAACGTGAGTCAGAAGGGGCTTCCTGGGCCAACTAGTCTGACCCCCAGCTCCAGTTGGCTCCGCTCATGTAATCCCCAACATGTTGTCCAATGTTTCCTTGAACACCCTCACTGATGAGGCCTCAACCTCTTCCTGTAGATCATGAACTGGAGAATGCAGGCATCCATCGCACTGCCTCTTTCATGCTAAGCGAGCATTCTACCATTTGAGCTCATTCCCCTTTATAGAATAAAATGCAGAATAAAAACTAAGATTAAAAAGTTAACTGGGAGAATGTGATTTGTCTTATAATAGATTTCACTCTGAAGAGTGCTATAGGAAATAGCATTAGCCTGTGCTTCAGTATTAGTCATAAATGTCACATCCTTATTAAGTAATTTAATATCTACAGTTCTCTTATCTTCTGATGAGTCCCATTTAATCTTTCTTGAAAATCATCTTCTTCCAGCAAATGCACATTCTTATGGCCAAACTTTGTCTTTGATTTTGTACATCTTTGCAAAATGATTAGATCTTCCACATTTTCCACAATCTTTTCTATATGCAGGATACTGTCTTCTATTCTTATCACATCTGGAACAAAACTTTAAGCCTGAAGTAACACTTGAAAATGAATTTCACAGTCTTCACATTAGGAAACAAAATTTTAGCACTCTTTTTCACACTCTTTCTAAGACTACTTATTTCTCTTTAAACTGATCCTGTTATTGTAATTGCTCTATAGTCACTTCTTCTGTTCCAAAGATATCCACAACTTCTCCCAACATCAGTTTCTCTCAGCAGCCTTGCCTGAAGATTATTTGATTTTATTCTATGAACACTTTCATCTTTTATCAGAGATTCACACAGCCAGTGATTTCAGGTTGGTCAGAGTATTCTTTCTGTTTTCTTGAATTTGTTTCTCTCGTATGTAACATTTCTTTTAGGTGTACAATATGACTTAAACTTATTTTTAAAAAGTCTCTGTGCTCTCCCTGTCTGTTCATCAAAATAAAAGATATTATATATTTCTCTCAGCTTTCCACATGTCATATCAATGTAAACCAGTCTGGAGATTTCCACTTTTCTTATCAGCTCCACTCCCAACACAACATAATTCAAATCCTCACTTCCATTTTCCCCAATTCTGAGCCACATTACTTTCAAACACTGGTTTCTCTGGAGGCTTCAGCTGACTCCTGCACTGCTGACATCAAGCCATGCTTAGTTTTCATAGATGTAAACAGAGCACTCTCCACACAAATTACAACAGGGCGTCTTTACTAGGTCACAATAAAAACTAGTATTCCCACCTGTTCATTATAATTCCAGATGAGTCCTATTTACCTTGTCAGTGTGACACCAAACCAAATACAAACACATATCAGTACAGTGGTTATAGGGTTGGAATAGGACCAAGAAGATCTGGGTTCTAGTCCCCTCTTGGCCATGAACTTCGCTGGGTGATTTTGGGCAGTCACCTACCTTGCAGGGTTGCTCTGAGGACAGAATGGGCAGGAGGAAGACGATGTAGCTACCTTGAGTTCCTCAAAATAGAAAAAAAGTGGGATCGAAAGGCAACGTAATATTATTACCGTATCCCCTGTTGACCTCTGTGCATTGGCCCCCATCTGGACAATGGTCATGTATATTTACACTAAAGGTTTGGTTTTTTAAAAAAATAGGATCAGGAGGTCAGCTATGTGCTATACATTTAATGTTGTGTGTGGAAGCAGTGAGAACAGGATACAGCTCTGCCTAGAAATGCATGCAATGAGTATGTGCTTCATTGTGTATGAAGGGTGGACCCGCGAGTCAGTGGAACCATATGCATAACCAGCATCATGCCAAACCCAACTGCTTCCGCAAGGACCCCGATCTCAACATGCACCCGCTCCTGTTCAGCCTGGGCAAGGCACTCTCTGTGGAGGTGAGTACACAAGAGCTCTGGGATGGGCTCAGGCCTCGGAGGGAACCTGTGTTAGTTAAAAGGCCGGCCCCATACATTATACTCCAAAAATGTGGCCAAATCTAACTGTGGGCAGTGACACCCCTAAAGATGCACTGGCAACTTGGAACACATGTGGGGAGGGGGAGACCACCAACCGTGTCTCCAAAAGTAGATACATTTCTCTCCAAGTTCTTCATATAAGGAAAACCCCAAGGTGTGGCGAAGGATGAGGGACAGCAGGTGAGAAGGTTTGTGATGGCATGTTCTGGGTGCTGATCAGGGCCGTCTTAACAGCATTATGGGCCCTGGGGGGCCCCTACGACAACTACAACTACTGTTAATTTTGGAAGTTTTCCCATTTCCAAGGGTTAACATACACAGATTAGTATGGGGCCCATGGGCAAGTGCCCATCAGGCCCATGCGTTAAGACGGCCCTGGGGCTGATCACAGCAGCCGATTCATCAGGTTTCTCCAACCCTAGAGCTTGGCAGAGATGATATCAAAGTCGGCCGTATATTGCAGGACTGGTCCAGCATTCAGGGCGCTTGGCTACTTTTCTCTTCCAAGAGCAGGAATATTGGCTGAGTTGTGATGCTGTCTGTCTGATGGAGGGGACCTGCACCATTAGCTGCTTGCTTGCTAGCTCGCTCAATGCTGGATCTGCCTCCTCCACTGAACACAGCCATCATCCACCCTGTCTTCGTGCTTATCTGCAGGAGGCATTTATTGCACTCTGGTGATTCAGCCTCACAGCCTTTTAAATGGTTTTTATTTTGTTTTGTTGAGTTCTTTAGGGCAGGCAAAGCCTATTCTTCCATTCTAAAGCATAGAACAAAAGCCTCTGTGAAGTTCCAAGTCTGTAGACCACAGCGGCACCTCGTGTTTAATTAATAGAATGCATAGTAAAACAGAAATCTAAATCCCGCAGGCAGTGGACATGGAAAGGACCTTTTCTCCTGTAATGAAAATGGAAGAAGAGGCCTCAGTAAAATAGCAGGTGAAACCCTTCATGTAGAGGAGTGTCTTTAGGGCCCAATGAACAGAAAGCATTTATGTTTTTCATTCACTGTAATTCAGTGAATTGTTTTCAGAATATTTGCCCAGGAACACCTCTGTGTGCACACAATCTTAATACAAATGGCCTTAAAAGCTTTGGAGGAGGGTAAGAAGAAGTAAATTACTCCTCCAGATCAAAATTTTGCATTACCTTTCTGCCTGGAAAAACCCTGCACCTCACCTTTTTTCTTTTTCTTTTTTTTTCCCTTTAAGATTTGTGATCTAGGGCTACCTCTTCATTATTTTCAAATTAATTCCCCACAAAAACAAAGGAAGTACATCTTTTTTTTTAACACACTCCTCCCCACAAACTGCAAAATTTCTTTCACACAAGACTTTTCACCTGAAATTTGGGGGAACTGATTCCCTCAGGAAGAGCAACTTTTCCTTCAATCTTTATCCAAGTCTGACAAGTAAATAAATCAGTTCAAAATTTTAAAAGTTGTTAGGAGAAATCCCATGGGTTTCCCATGCCTGCAAATTTTGTCCAATAAACAACAAAACCGTTTTAACTATTTGTTGATTTTGAATGATATGCCAATGGAAGGCATGAAGATTCAGATTTCACAGTCAAGATTTAGAACCAAGTCAAATTGGACTTTTTTCCATATTAAATTCCCAACTGAATTTTCTTGGTGGTACACACCTTTATATGATATGGAAGCTGAATCTTTTTTACTGACAAAAGGCAAGCTCCTTCTCTGATCATAATACTATAAGAATACTGTGTGCAAACTATAAGAATACTGTCTGCAAACTAGCCAAAACTAACAGACCTTAAATAATTTGGTTTATTTGGTAGATAAATAATTTGGTTTATCTTTTGTGATTTGTTCTCATTTGCAGCTTGGAAAGAAGAAAAAGAAGTACATGCCTTACCAGCACCAACACAAGTACTTTGCTCGTGAGTATCTTCTGCCATTTTGCCCAGAAGCCCAACTCTGGAAAATGCCACATTCAGTATGGCCATGCCTCTGGATAGATGAGGATGATAAGACTATGGGGTATTTTGAGAGATATTTTGGGGGTAAGAGTATAAGATGAATGGCTTGAGGGAAAGATGGGCCTCTATAGTAAAAATTCATGTGCCAGTATGGCCAGGGATTGGAGCTCTGCACTCAGATATGCATGAAACGTATCTAAATCCGTGTGGTTTACAATGGAAGAATTCTTATGTCTAGTTTGTTCTTACATATTTTCACTACAGTTTTAGCTCCACTGACGTTTGTCCTTTACATCCAGACGCTAATATTCTATCACACCGTTCAAAGGAAAAAATGGCTGGTAAGTTATCTATGGAACTGTGATTGTTCTTCTTCTGGATAAGCATATGCAGGAATTGAGGTATATCAGCACTGAAGAGAGATTCATGTGTGATGCATCCGTGTTCCAGACATCCCTAACCCCTCCTCATACCACACAAAACTCTAGCTGGGCTGTGCCTGGAGCTACTTGTCAGGCTTCCAGTCCTGCAAGGACTTTTGTTTGTGTGTGACATGACAATTTGCACTAAGTTTAACTCACTGTTAAAGAATGTCTGGCCCAAGGACCAAATCCGGCCCCCTTTGGGCCCCAGTCTGTCCCGCAGCAGTTCTCTAGCTAGTCTTATCCCTTTCCCATAGCCACTGATGTTTGTTATGCATCTGAGTGCTGGATGCACTTAACAGCACATCTAGTTTGACTTTAAATAAGCACCTGTGTCCTGGTTGTTAGTTCACCTCTGTTTATCAGAGAGCAGTCAGGGTTGATCTCCTCTAGGACTGACCAGTTTGATCGCCTTGCGGTCCAAGGGATTCGCAGGAGTCTCCTCCAGCACCACAATTCAAAGGCCTCAATCCTTCAGCGCTCAGTCTTCCTTATGGTCCAGCTTTCACAGCCATACATTGCAACTGGGGAAACCATAGCCTTGACTATACGCACTTTTGTTGGCAGGGTGATGTCTCTGCTTTTTAGTATGCTGTCTAGATTTGCCATAGCTTTCCTCCCCAGGAGCAAGCGTCTTTTAATTTCTTGGCTGCAGTCACCAACTTGGAGCCCTAAAACAGCATGCACTAATGTAAAATAAAATGCAGTAAATACAATAGTAAGAAGCCAAAAATATGTAAAACACAACAAAGGGAGAAACAAGAGACAAAACATGTGCTTCCTCCGTTCCTTTTTTCAGTGGAGTGCTTAGCGCAGGAATTTGGTATAAAATAGCAAATAGTTTGTCCATGTGTATTGGCTTAAGGAGAGAATTAGACCAAAGGGGCTGGGACATTGAGGTTAGTGATGAGTAAGTTTGAATTTACATTCCAAGTCAGCTTGCAGTTCAGAAAATAAGAGCATTGTATGCCCTGCTCAATCCCCCGAATACACTCATTTCTAAGTAAGAGAATGGGCGTCCTCAATCCTCCTTCAAGACTTAGCAGCCAGAGACAGAGAGAACAGCAGCATATGGGGAGAGGCTAAGGGGTGGTCTCGTTCTTCCCTTTCCTCCCCTAGTAGCTTGGCACACTGCTATAGAATACACTAAGAAAAAAGCACAGTGGCTTATGGGAGATGTAGTTCTCTATAGACATCAGAACTGCATTCTCCATGACCTGGTGGACCTTTGGACCTGAAGTTATGCAGTGCATGAGGGCACCAGAAAAAGAGGGGACGGGACAGATCCGCCCCTTTCCCTCAACCTGCATACCATCACTATTTGAAGGGTAGTCATGTACCCTCTTTTGCAGAGGTCAGTCCTCTCTTTGAAGAGCTGCAAGAGGACCATCCTCTATTTGAAAGTGTCCTCTACTTGAAAGGATGAAGAGCCATAAGAACTGTTGCCCATTGGTAGTTAATTGCTGGGCCAAACTTAACCCGCAGGCCCAGAGGCTCCCTGATCCCAGTTCCCTGCACTATGTTGAGATGTATTATATCTCTTTTTAAACTGTAGTTATCAGATTACTTCTATACATATGAATTAGCTGTATGCATTTTTTTTTTCAAATCACCGTCCTCTTTTGTTGTGATACATTGATGCTCTTTTGATTGCCACTGGCTGGTTATTCCTTTTGGGAATGCGGAGGACTGGGAAGGAGACCTTAGAAATTCTTCTCTAAGCAACAAAATCCAGTAAAGTGCCAGGAGAAGAGAGACTCCTTTGCATGATATAAGCCCCCATATCTGGTGTCTGGGCTTGAGTTTAGTTAGTATCACAAACAGCCCTAACTGCACCCAAAGTCTGGATGACCTTCTGGTAGGTGAATCTCCCTAGAGGAATTGTGCTAGGAATTCCTTTCATTTTGAAGCAAGATGTATTTCTAAATAAAATGTACCTTGCCGCATAGATTCAGCCTTGTCCCTTTTCCCCCTTGTCCCCCTTTTCACAACACAGTCCCTGCCATTTCTGTGCATGCAAACATTGCTCTGAGTTGTATAGCATCATGGCATTTAGAGTGTTCAAATTGCTCCAAACTAACCTAGGAAGTTGCAATAATTTTCCTCCTTTTTCTCCCCATTTTTCCACTGGCAGGAGTTCACCTTCATTGTGCTCTACAATATCCGTGTCTGTCTCATGTACATTCCTTTAATGGGATTTAAAAGTTTCATGGCATTCTATTGGCTGGCCAGGTAATAGTCATGCAAAACTCTCTTCTGGGCCGCTGTCGCTATGCAGACATCATAATTTATGGAGGGTGAAGTCAGAACAGGTGTGCTTTGGTGCATATAGACTGGCTCTTGCCTAGGTCTTTTTTAGCATGCTGTTGGAAAGCTGGTAAATGTGCAGTTAGAAATGGGGGAAATAAAGTGATGATGTGTTGATGTGTTGAAACAAACAGGAAATGTCAGGAATTTCAGGTAGCACAAAATACTTAACAGCAGAATACACTCAGTTTCCATAACAGAAAGCAAATGGCCCAAACAATATTAAAACAGGTTCTTTCTGACCAAAGCCTTTCTCTGCTTTCCTCTTTGGGCAGTGAATGCATCTTCACTACATTCCTGTAAATACCTAAAGTATTCCATTTTCCCTTCCAAGGAACTCAATTCTTTTCTTCCTCTCAATCTTATCCTCACAGCAACCACCCTGTGAGGTAGGTTGGGCTGAGAGTCTGTGACTGGCTCAGTCACCCATTGAGCTCCATGGCTGAGTGAGGATTAGAACCCAAATCGCTTGAGTCCCAGTCCTGCACTCTTAACCACTACGCCACAGAGTGCAAAGGACAATTGGGAAGGCTTGAAAAAACAAGCTATGTTTTCAAAGGACGAGGAAAGGCATTTGCAACTCAGAGAGAGACGGGACAGGCAAGGGAGGGAGGGAGACAACCAAAGGCTCTCTGAATTGCTGCCATTTTGCTAAAGACCCAGTGGGACACCTCCTCTTCTCACACCCTGCAGCCCCAGAACCATATCACATGCTTGGCGCACATCGAAGGATATACCAGGAGAAAATTGCAACATATTGAATATATATTACTTCCCTTATCATGATATTGAGAACTTCACATGATCCATAGTTGAATGCTTTCCTTCATCTTGGAAACATTGGAGAATATCCTGTAGAGCATTCTTCCCCAGCCCGGTTCCCTTCCAGATGTTTGGGATAAAAACCCCTGCATTCCTGACCATTGGCTGTACTGCTTGAGGCTGATGGGAATTGAAGTCCAAAACATTTAGAGGGCAGCAGGCTGCAGAAGGTGACTCTAGGGAGTTACACTTGTATCTGAGAGAGGAGTGCCCTTTGCAGTGGGAGAGGAGTGCCCTTTCAGGATTTCTAGTAGATTCTGTACTACTTCCTTGACTTTTGACATTGTTATCAGCCACTTTTTGCATTATGTGACTTTTGCATGGCTTGAATTTTTGCAGCAATGATCATTTGGAATTGTGTTTTTTTTCCTGGAATTGTCCATTTTGTATGCAATTGGACATTTCTTTAAGAGCTCTGATTGCATCAGAGAGCAAGCCCACCATTTTTGGTCAATTTGGTGACAAGGTAGGACATCATATCTATCAAGTTAGGCTGTTGTTAAATTAGTGTACCAGGTTTTTCTCAGTGATAGACCTGGTGTCCAAACAAAGACTTGCCACCTGCAGTAGCAATTCTCAGTTCTTTCCCTGACTCCTTTCATGCTCCTTGGGCCAAAGGCTATTTACTGTAGGGGTGAAAAGTGTGGACAATATTTGTGGGGGACGTGTTGGCAACATGGCTAAAAGCACTGAAAGAAGGAGTGGACTAATTTTTCACAAAATGAATGAACACTGTCTCCATATTTTGCCTCCTATCATTGGTTCTACAAGAGCCAAATATTTGCTTTAAAAAAAAAGAAAAGGACGCAAACCAGACGTCTGGAGAGTTTTGTTCATCCAGGAAAGAATTGCTCATTCCCACAACCCTTCTTGTATGAAGGGAAGACTTGAGTAAGGTGGCAACCTTAGTGGTCAAAACCCTTCTGCAGCTGGTTTGGCTGGTAATAGTGCATTTTGGGGTGTGTTTTTATCTACACAGATGGCTGGAAAGCACGTGGTTTCTCTGGATCTCACAGATGAACCACATTCCAATGACCATCGACTATGACCAGAATTTAGACTGGGTTTCTGCCCAGGTAAGATAACATATAGGGGGCAGCAGTGACGATCTATAGGCCCAGGTCCCAACCTGGCTCTCCAGGGTTCCTCAGTGGGCTATTCCTCTTCCCCTGGTCCTACCGTCTTCCCCTTAACCACCAACCTTTTGATGGTGTCTTGATTTTATGTAGTTCCTCCACTGAAAAGGTTGAAATGCCACGTTAATGTGTTATTTACTAGCAGGAAGAGCTTTGAGCTAAAATACACTAGAATTGTATTTTTAAAAAATGTTGACCCCATGCTTTTATTTTGACCTTCTTCCTTTATCTACCATCACACCCACAGCTGGTATGATAGCTTCTCCACAGTTCAATTCAGCCCTCATGCTGAAAGAGGTTCCTACCCTGATCCTGAATCACTCTCCATCTTTCATATAACGGTCTCATTCATAAATGCACTTGGGCAAATAAGAACTTGAAATCAGGCTAGTGTGCACTGCTGAATTATCCCATACCCTGTCAAACTCCTCTTTTAAAGGGGACCTAGACTTTTGGCAGCTAGCCAGCTGTCAAAACTCCTTTGCCCAAGGAAAAAAGGATGGATAGTTTATTGCATTTTCCTAAGTCCCTAGAATCTTGGGGGAAAGTACAAAATGCGCACCACCATGAATATTTCCAGGGGGAAAGGGTAGAGGAACTTGCTATGAAGGAAGTATAAATCACACTACCTCCTTTACAAAGATCACTCATGCCTTTGCTTTCTCATGACAGCTTGCATTGTGACCACTGTCAGGAGAAAGCAAAGAGAAAGGGAACCTCTTGGGAACCTCTTCGGGGCAATTTCCAAGGTTACTGTCTGCTGTGCTCTGGCTGCAGATACCCCACCCCCAGGACATAGCCCCAGCCAAGGCTTTAAAGTCCCACACTTGCACTGCTGTGAACAACCACAATTGGCTAAGTGTAACAATAAAAAAGTTAAAAATAACTAACCTATTTGCACATTTTTGTGCACACAACTTTTTATTTCTAAAAAAAATCTTACAGCAAAACAAACAGGTAAAGGGCAGTCTTTTCTGTACCTCTGATATATGACAAATGGTCTTCAATGAGGGACTCTAGAATTTCTGAAATGCTTTGGATAATAATGAAAGATTTTCCATAAGTACCGGAGACTTTCATTTCACTCTCTCCCATTGATGGGTCCTCCATGCACATGCCATCCCCTCTTGTTTCATGCACCCTTCCAAGGTGCCTCTTCGAACACTTCAAAGGGGGCTGTCAGTGGCTGTCAAAACCAGTATCATGAAAGCCAACTGTCAAGCTAGCTTTGGGAATCTCAACCAAACAGACAAAGTGCAAAAAAGCTTCAGTGAGGCAAGAAGAGTTCATGGTTGCAGCAGGGAGGAAGGAGGCAAGTCAGTCCTGCCCTAGATGTTGCTGCCCCAGAGGACTCAGTGGGAGGGAGAGCGCCAACAACCCATGGTAAACTTGAATGTCTGTCAGGCAAACTGTGGGTTGTTTGGCCAGCGCCATTATTGCCAGGGTAGGTTGGCATGATGTGTGAACTTACCCAGAGGATAGGCATTTGTAATAACTTACAAATCCATAGCTTAGTGATGTACTCTGGGGAGGTCCCCAACACTAAAATGTAAATAATAAAAGAAAATAGAGAAAAATATAAATATTTCTTTGACATTTCTGCCACATTCCAGAGAACCTACTTTCCAGTGGACTAAAATTCTTTTATATGCATCATTCTCCTCCACACATGTATACAGCTAGATGTCATCTTGTTGTGAGTCATAAATACAGTTGAGTTTTTATTTGATGTCCTTTCTAATGTACTTCCATGTTTGTGAAGTTCCAAATTATGGAAACTCACACAGAACAAGGAGGAACTGTGGTCTACAATGCAATGGACTGTAAGAATTGTGGATGAGAGGAAATTCAACCCATTTTCCCTTCTTTCTTAGCTCTCAGCAACATGTAATGTGAATCAATCCTGGTTCAATGATTGGGTCAGTGGGCACCTGAACTTCCAGATTGAGCATCAGTGAGTATGAGATACAGAGGAAGATCATACCATATAAAGTACTCCCAGGAATATATCTGGGAAAGGCCTTCAGACATATCCACATAAGTATTCTCAACACAGCTTTGTTCCTAAGTAGATCAATGGTGGCTTTGGTCATGGATGCTTTTGCACAGTTTTGGCCGGCTCTTACACATGACCTGATAATACATGCCATGGTTCCTTCCAAGCTGGACTTCTCTGATACGGTAGGTGGGGCTGCCTTTGCCAAGAATCTCAGAACTGCCATTGGTTAATACTTTGCTTCTGAGCCCTTGCTATCCAAGCCCCCAGCTATTGGAGTCTCGCTCCATCTCCTGCTGTACACACCTGTCTCCTGCCACACATCCCTCTGGCCAGTGAGGTGCAGATGGGAGCAACATGCCACCAAGCCTTTTCAACAGCGGCACCCAGGCTTTGGAAATCGCTGCCCAGGAGACAGGGCTAGCGCCTTCTTTAACCATGTTCAGATGGCGAGGAAAGACAGTGCTGTTTTCTGTGCATTTTACAGCACTCCTCTTTGAAGATTACTGTTCCTGCTATATTTCAATGTTTTTAAAATTCAGTGTTTTATTTATTTTATGCCTTTACCATTGTTGTTTAAACTGGAAGCTGTTTTGGACATCACCGTTGGAGGGAAAGCAGTGGCTGGTGGTGGTGGTGGTGGTGGTGGTTGTTGTTATTATTATTATTAGAATATTTCTATACCGCCCCTTGATACGCACTTGACACCTTTGCTCCCTCTCTTCCGGCAGCCTCTTCCCAACCATGCCTCGTCACAACTTCTGGAAGGTGGCCCCCCTTGTGAAATCCCTCTGTGCCAAGCACGGTGTTAAGTACCAGTGCAAGCCCCTGCTCACGGCCTTTGCAGATATCCTGCGGTAAGTGCTGATTAAAGGGGGCTCCAGTGAAGAGCATCAGTGGGGAAGGATCTGTGTGGCAATGGGCAGCAGCATGGGGGCAGGGGGTGGGCTATGGAAGAGGGAAACATGGTGAATGACTGCTGACTAATGAGTCCCATTTTCCTCTTTGCAGCTCCCTAAAGGAGTCAGGGGAACACTGGCAGGATGCTTATTTCCACTGAGAAGCGGAGGAGAAAGCCCAAGGAGGAACCTTCTCCTGCTATCCTCCCACCCCACAGGGAAAATGAAAGGGAAATAGGTGGAAAACATACCCCTGCTCGTGTGGTTAGGGAACAGGATAAACCTAATGACATAATGTGAACTGGTGCTCTTCTTTTGCATACAGGTCTCAATGTGCTGCTTCCTCAGGCTTTACAAATAGAAGCCAGAGATGGAGCTGAACAGTGAAAGTTATCAGTACTTCTTCCTGTTTGTGGAAGAATAAAAGCAAACTAGGTCCATTTCTACTTTAAGGCCCAAAGGATAGGCCCTGTCTGATTGGCAAGGAAATAACACAGGGAGTAATAATGTGGCCAAACCTAGGAAGCCAGAGCCCAATCTCATTCCCAGAGCCCTGTGTGTCCAGTGGTGCCAAAGGGGTTTTTCCCCAAAGTTTTTTTGCTCTGCATGGCAGAGCGATGGGGAGATTTTAAGGCAGAATCACAGCTGGGAAAGGAAGAATTCCCTGTGGGAGGCAAAGATAAAGAAAAGAGTGGTGGAGACATGGAGGAAGGGACAATGAAAGCAGGGGGGATTGTTATCCTTTTAAAGCAGGGCTGGGCATCTTTGGGAGTCTGGGAGCTGTTGTTACCTCCTGGACCCACCTGTTCATCCATGGACCATGTTTTGCACAGCACCCACCAACAGCTGTGGCAAAACACTCGGGTATACAAAATGGATTGATTTTTCGGAGACTAAATTTGACCCATTTAGTGTCCTGTACAGTTAAAATAATTTTTCTTTAAAAATGCAAACAGAGCTGCTTTCTCCAAATTAAGCAGGGCAATTGCTGTGAGAAGGGCCATACCAGGGCAGCAGCTGGAGAGATACACTGGTCACCTTTATCCTAAAGAGCTAAATAAACTGGACAGTGGTCATTCTCCAAGTGTTTTAGATTTTTAGATCCAAGTCATTTGCATGTGAGAGAGAAAGTGATGGCTGTTCTAGATCTTGGTGTGACTGCCTCTCTGTCCTTATTTTCTTTATCTTTTATTATTATCTTCATTAAAAAGTAGAATTTTAAAAAAGAAAAAAGATACCAAGGCATCTTACACAAATATTGCATATAGTATCAAGATTTAAACATTCACAAGTCAATAATTGTTATCTCTTCTACACTCAATTAAATTAATTCATACTTAATTAAAACTCACTGAGCAATTATTCTAATTTATAATTCTTAATGTCATGAGCAGAGTGGCTGGAGCTGGAGGTCAGACTAGATGGCCTGAGAGACCCCTTCTGACTCGCTCTGTTTCTGTGCTTCTATGCTAATACTGACTTCTGTTCCATTCCTTTTAAATCAATTTTAAATAACTACAAAACATTTGTATTAATATCATAACTCACTAATAATATTTTTACAAGTTCTATTTTCATTACTAAGTAAACTATATATAATAAACTTTCCATTTATAATTAAATTCTTCAGCTGCTCTTCTATTTCTGTAACTAGCTAGTTTTGCCATTATTGCATATTTGGCTTGCTTATTTTTGCAATCTTCATTAGTCGGGAAGTCTTCTGCATTCCATTTTAATGCAATTATTAGTCTAGCTGCTGTTATCATAAATTTAAATAACGCTATCATATTTCTTGGCAGAGTTTCTGGTACAAGATTCAGTTGCATATTCTTGACATTCACAGGAAAGTCAATTTTCAATCCCTGTCCTTAATTCTCTTGCATGGAGGGATCACACTCTGTGGGGCCTCCTAAATTGCTTTCATTTGAATCTTCTTCTGAGTGTGTGTCTATGTGAGATGGGCCAGTGGGGTGAGAGAAGTTCTTGCTTCTGCCTACATAGGGCAGGGATGGAATGGGAAAAGAGATCAATATAGTCTGACATGGCTCACCCTCACCATTTTATTTCATTTTCAATTTATTTAATTAATGGTGGTAATGAGGATTGATTAATGGGATAATTAATAGGAGGAAACTGGTTAATTTTGGAACAGGCTCTGGTCAGGAATTGAGAAACTAATTGGACTAACCCTCTAGTCACTTTTGGCTTTTAGGGTTACTGTTCTACTAAATCCTTGAAATTCCATTTTGGTACAGAAGTTGCCTTTTAAAAAATGTGTATGTGTGCATGGAAGGGCTCATGAAAGACACCTACCAAATGCTCTTTAAAATATTTGTTTGAACGCTGGCACAGGAGTTTGTGCATGACTAAGCCCTTTTGTGTCTTCATATCTTTATGACTTTCCTACTGCTGCCATCTTCTAGAAGGCTTTGCACAATCTTTAAGGCACTGAATTAAAGTCCAGATGGCTTTAATACCCTGATATCATTCTGACACATCTCAGTGAATTCTCTACAGGGCTCTGAGGATGAGATTGCTCAAGATTATTGTTCTCAAGTATTAACTAGGATGTTTTATTATACTATTATTATAGTTACGTGCCACATGAAGTTGCTTCATTTACTTTGGCAGCAAAAAAGATCCGGAAGAGAGAATCCAACAAAATTGCTATAAACTACATTGGAGATTCAGAGTTAAGTTAAAGATGGGTTTCTGTTCATAGTATATTTTAACCTATTTATATTTTATATTGTTTGAAATTCTTCATGTTGTTGTCTTTGCACAGATGTGCAATTTTAATGTATTTGTCAATGCCTTTGGCTAGTACAATAAACTTTTTGAACTTTGAAAAATATTATTAGTAGTAGTAGTACATCACAGTTATAGCCCACCTTCTATGATTCCTTTCCTCTTGCAAAGAACCAAAGGCAGCTTACATAGTTCTCCTCCACTCCATTTCTTATCCTCACAACAACCACCCTGTGAGGTAGGTTCATCTGAGAATGAGTGGCTGGCCCAAAGGCACCCAATGAGCTTCACGGCCAATTAGGGATTAGGACCTGCATCCCCCAGGTCCCCAGTCCAACACTTGTACATTGGGCCAACACATATTAGGCAAAATTACATAGCAGCATCAGACGGTCGCTTCAGGGCTCCATTAAAGGACAGCAAGCATGGGGGACATGAGTGTTCCACTGAATTTTCCAACTCAAACTCCCAAGAATTTTCTCCAGCAGTGAGCTTATTTATTTATTTATTTATTTAGAAAATTTCTATGCCGCCCCATTCACCGAAGCCTCGGGGCGGCTCACAAAACATCAATTAAAATATAATACACTAAAAATATAAAATGAATTAACAATATAAAATAAGTTGCCCTGGCCAAAGAATAAAATAAGCAAATAATATTAGCAATTAAAATGACGTTTGGATAATAAGGTTTAATAAATATATCTCATTAATAAGCCATTGGTACAAGCCATACACTGGTAAATTCACAATCAATTACTGTAATGCACTCCATGTGAGGTGCCCATGTTCCTGGTTCAGCTAGTGCAAAGATGCAGCTAGCACAAAATGCATCAGTGACAATGTGTCCTGTGTTATATACGTGTTACACCTGTGTCAAACAACCTACATTCACTGCCTATTAGCTATCAAGCCATATTCAAGGGTCTGTTTTTCACATGCATGTACTGCCTTGGCTTTGGGCCAAGAAGTTCTTTGTGATCCCAAGGAAATGCCTATGCCAGCTTCTAAGTTTACTTACAAGGAGACACTTTATTGTTGCAACAAAATATAAGTACTGTAAGCTAGCTAGCATCCCTAAAGCATTTAGCACCAAGTCATGTACACAGTACCCCCTGCAACGTAGGCCCCAGTCAGCTGGAACAGATGGGGCCAGCAAAGACAGCAATGAAGTCTGCCGCATCGATTGACTCTTCCTTTCATGAAAGATTTGATAGGGTATCAACAACCTCAGATATGCAGATGATACCACTCTCATGGCAGAAAGTGAAGAGGAACTAAAGAGCCTCTTGATGCGGGTGAAGGAGGAGAGCGCAAAAGTTGGCTTGAAACTCAACATTAAGAAAACTAAGATCATGGCATCCGGTCCTCTCACTTCCTGGCAAATAGATGGGGAAGAAATGGAGGTAGATTTTATTTTCCTGGGCTCCAAGATCACCGCAGATAGGGACTGCAGCCAAGAAATTAAAAGACGCTTGCTCCTGGGCAAGAAAGCTATGGCAAATCTAGACAGCATACTAAAAAGCAGAGACATCACCCTGCCAACAAAAGTGCGTATAGTCAAGGCTATGGTTTTCCCAGTTGCAATGTATGGCTGTGAAAGCTGGGCGATAAGGAAGGCTGAGCGCAAAAGGATTGAGGCCTTTGAATTGTGGTGCTGGAGGAGACTCCTGCGAGTCCCTTGGACCGCAAGGCAATCAAACCAGTCAGTCCTAGAGGAGATCAACCCTGACTGCTCTTTAGAAGGCCAGATACTGAAGATGAAACTCAAATACTTTGGCCACCTAATGAGAAGGAAAGACTCCCTGGAGAAGAGTCTAATGCTGGGAACAATAGATGGCAAAAGAAGAAGGGGATGACAGAGGATGAGGTGGACTCCGGGGGATGGTGGAGGACAGGCATTCACCAGCAAGGCATTTTTCCTCAGACCCACACAGTTCTTCCTGCCTCAAGCAGCACCAACCATTGCTGTTTTCTCTGTCCCTTTCTTACCAAAAACACAATAGCAGCATTGTTCTTCTGGTCCCCATGGGTCATTCTGTCAGCCCCTCTTGGCCTTACTCTCCATACTAGCCTTCTGGCCATCCTGGGTGCTTTGCTAGCCAGCAGAGCTCAAGTAGACATACTACTTAGCTTTTTCACCTGCCTGTGGGAAGGATCCACTACTTAGCAGCTGCGTAGATGAGTACAGGAGATGTCTGGCCTGCTTTTGCAAAAGAAGTGAGAAAATGAAGGGCCTGGTATTTTTGCAAAAAGGCTAAACAGTGTTTCACTAGAGGCTCCACCCATCAAGGCTCCTCCAAGTGGCTTCCAAGGTTACTGGCGAGGTCGCTGCTTCAGGCAAAAGCATGCTTCCTTGCTCGTTGCTTGGTCATACTTTTTCCCTTGCTTGCTTTTGCCTCTCCTCCCCCACCCACTGCAGCCAGGAGTGTGCTCATGCACCTGTGACTGCAGGAGAAGTGAGTAGCCCTTGGCCTGGGAGGACAGGCGTACTCTCTGGGCAGGGAAGCTTATGGGGGTTTCCTCCCGACATCTTCCTCCATCCAAGTTCCCTGTCTCCTGGCTGCCATTTCACTTCTTGTGACTAATGCTTGGCTGGCAGGCAGTGATGTTTAGGGCACCCTGCATATAATTTGAAGCCAAGTTAATGGCATATCCTCTGCTTTGGGTGAGAGGCTGCCCTTTCATTCTTACTTTCCAGGAAAATAACATTTGTTTTCATCTACAGGAAAAGACATATCCTCAATTCCACTTGGCCCATTGGAAAGCACTGAAACTATAAATGCAGGATACATTGCTTTTGGCTACAGTGCAGGATCAGAACCACTTTAGCAAGCCTCTCTTTGATGGCAGTGTAATCTCCATCTTCAATATTAATAAACACTGGAATGTCTATACTAGCCTTTCTCAACCTTTTTACCTTGGAGAAACCTTTGAAATAATTTTCATGTCTCAGGAAACCCCTACATAAAATAATTATAAATTATTATAATACTATTATAAACCCCTCTGTCCAACCTATACACTCAGAAGTACCATGAAATTTATGGTACTTCTATTATTTTATTATTGTTCATCATCATCATCATCGTTTAATACTTCTATTATTTTATTTCATTAACATTCATAAAATTAATATTTATTAATTTTAATTAATACAATAAAATTTTATTTTATTAATGTCCAACCAATGCACTCAGAAGTACCATGAAATTTATGGTACTATTATTTTATTGTTGTTATTTATTTTATTAATGTGACATATCACCCTGCTATCCTTCCCATAAGAACTGCATCACAGATTAAGAGGGGAAAGATCCCTCTAGCTCAGCCTGATCTACCTGTGGGAAGGGTCCACCAGCCAGGTGCAAAGGCAGCAGCTGCTCCTGTTCTTTGTTCCAGCACTCCATCCCAGAGACAGACCACCTGTGCCCATGGATGTTCTTGTCACTTGAAGAGCTCCAGGCCTACTAGCAAAAGAGTATGTGAATGCCACAATTTCCAGGCAAGGTGCCACTGAAAAGCAATTTTCTGTGACAGTTACCACAGAGAAAGGCATACGAGTCTGGCCTTAAGGGTGGAATCCTTCCCCAGTGAGTGGTAGAGAAGAGTAGCAGTGGGCCATAGCCAGGAGGCCTGTGAGACTGAAGTCCAGGAAGCAGAGAGCAGCTCTGCCAGAAAGCATTTGGAATTTGGAAGAGGTACTCAAGGGAAGCATGACCCAGTCCCTATTTCCTTATCCCCTCGTAAGTAAATTACAACTACCATTTTGCTGGATCCCAGGGCAAGGAGGAACTGATGGTGAGAATATGCAGAGGTAGTCTGTACATCAAAGAACACTTGAATGGGGCCCCAGCTTTATATACATCTACATTGATAGCATGGGCAGCAGCATGGCTCCCACCATCACATTTGCACCAGGCCCAATACATCTTTGCATAACCCTGCATAACAGGAGACACACCAAAGGCTCTCCTTGCTCAGGGCACTGGGGCTGGTTTGGCTGGGTGCAAAAAATTAGTCGAATGGTGGCCACAGAAAAGCAGCACTAGAAAGAAAAGAACTAGCAACCAGAGAGGCAATTGAAAGAAAAACATTTAAGAAACCATGCGGAAGGTAGAGTGTGGGGAGCTAAGAAAGGCAGGAGAAGGGGAGCCTGCAAATCAAACCAGGAATCTCAGTTGATCAGGCTGAGGTTTCGCAGAAGTGGAGGTAAGAAATTTACTTAGTCTAAAAGCATCTATATGCCTGTATACTTTCCTGTTCAAAATAAATGTTTCACCTTTAGGAATCCCACCATAAAGACAGATCTTTACTCTTTGACAGATAAGTTAATCTGTCAAAGAACAATTAGAAGTTTGGCATATTCCTGAGATGCTACCTACTATCTTAGGGACACCTGCAAAACTTAGGGGGCATTGCTGATACTTCATCCACATTAAGTGGGCCAACCTGGTGAATCAGTGTGGTGATGGCCTGACCAGTCCAGAGGGATCCTGAAAGTGACTCTAATGTTCTGAGTTTGGGTCTATTGCACCTTTTCTCCCTATCCAACCTTTTCTCTGGTCTTACATTATTCTGTCTTTACTTAAGCCTCCAATGGATTGCAAGATGGCTCTTTACAGTACTAGGGATCATTGCACTGGGACATGTCAAACACCTTGTCTATTCATCAGAAAACTAGCTATTTGAACTGCATGCACAGAAAATTGCCAGTCTGAAATGCCAATCTGTTTTTTATGCACCCTGAATTGTGTGTCTGGTGCATTTTGGATTTTAACTGTAAGTTCCTGAAAGAGTCCCTGAAAAGAGTGGAACTCATTTTGCAAATCTTCTAGGAATGGCACATCCCATTTGAGCTCCTGGTAATTCTGACACAATGCCTACAATTAAGTATGAATATAAGCTTGTGATGCAGCCTTCTATTAATTTGAGATTTCAGTTATTCATTATAAAGCAAGTGGAAGGGGCACACTTCTTTTTGCTTTGCTCCTCCTTTTGTGTTTAAAGTTCTCTGATATCACATGGCTACAGATATCCACATTAATTCATATGGATAGCCCCATGAATTAGGCACTTGCAAAAGTCAGGCTAAAATTAATTTTTTTAAACAATTAGAATATTTGCACAGGGGTTTGCTGTGCTTGCCAAGTGGCTCCCTTACATAATCTCCTCTGCAGCAAGTTCCTAAAATGAAGTGTTGGACTAGAGGTGTGATGAAAGCATCTCCCACAGCAGCAAAGATCAGGGAGAGTAGCACCAGCATTAGCACTGACATGGTGGCATCAGGGTGGGAGGGTGGCAGATAGTGATAGGATGGGAGAAGAGAAGCAAGCTAGGGCCCTGATCCACCACTCTTCCTAACCTATTCCCCAAGCAGACACTTCACTCTGCCTCAAGGTCAGCTCTGACTATGGCATCCTGCATTCTTGATGATGTAGGCATTCTGATGGCACCGAGAAGTCCAAAACAACAGGAGGACATGTTGGTCAGAAATAACTACACTGCTACAAGGCCTCACAGAAAATGCCTGAGAAAATACTGAGACCTTTGGATATCCACTGGAATTTGATCTCTTTTTGATGGCATAATGTCAGGGAAGGATAGACTTTTATGTCAGAATATTTGTCTGTGCCCATTTCCCGGAAACATGATGAGGACAATAGTAATCACTAGTCTAATCACAATGGGTGGGAGCGATGAGCTGAGCTGGGGAGGAATGATCTCTGAGCCCTTCCTCTCCAAATCAACAGAAAACTACATGGACTGTCATTAGAAGACCCCCAGAAAATGATGCTCTAGTCTAAACTGTCAAGCAAAGCAACTAAATATAGAAGACATAGGGGAAAGTCGGAAAGTTTGGGATATTGCAAAATCAGATTCTGTGAGGTGCATAAGTCAACCTGTGTTCATAAGCTTCTAAAACCTGCCAAACCTGAGACAAAAGCAGAAACTCAGGACGAAATAAGCCGCTCAGAAAGCATCTGAAAAGATCTGGGTAGCATATCAATGCTGTTTAATAAGCATACAAAGGCTACAAGCAAATAAAAAATAAAAGTAGAGTCTCGAGTTGGGTGGTATGTATGTAGAGTTGGGTGGTATGTATGTATAAATAAATAAATAAATAAATAACCGTGCTTTTTTGCACACCCGCACTTGGAAATAAGTCCCACCGAACCCCGTAGGGATTACTTCGGGGGAGGCATGCCTGCTATTGCTCCGTTGCTCTCTTAGTCGAGAGGGGGAATTGCAGGAGCGCAGTCCCGTTGAGCGAAATAAGAGAGTTTGGTCTCTTGAGCCGGCGTCGCTGATCCCAGAGCCTGCGTGCATTAAGAGAAGCTCCCAGTAGCAAGTGGAATTTCCCGACTGTACGACAAGCCAATCAGATTCTGAGGCGTCGGTCCCTGAAAAAGGCGCTTGACTGAGCGCGCTGTTTCAGTTCGTACCGTGGGTGCGGCGAAAGCGCAGCGAGCGAGTCTGCGGGAAGTGAGCCCCGCAAACAAAATACTTAGGCTGCGATGGCTTCCCCGCTGCAGGAGAATGGGGTGGGAGTTGGGAAGGAGCATATTACGAGAGGCAGCAGCGAGATCTGTTCCGGCCGTTTTTTCACCTGGAAAGAGATCGAGCTGCGCACGGGTCGGACCCAGCCTTATCTTCGGGAGCGGTGGCTAGTGATCGACAGGAAGGTCTACGACATCAGCACTTTCTGCAAGCTGCACCCCGGAGGGCCCAGAGTGATTAGCCACTATGCCGGGCAGGATGCCACGGTGAGAAGCGGGTGGCGAGGTTATTGGAACAGCCTCTCCTATAACAAAAGCATCGCGCACCCCTCCTCGCCGCTTTCTCCCAAATGAGATCCGAATTACGACTGCTCTTCTCCGACAGTAGGAATCGGGCGGTTGTAAAGCGAAGTAAATCCGTGAATGATCCTAGATTCATCTCGATGTCGAATGGTTTTGCTGTTCGGCGTGGTGTTGCAGGGTTTTGAGGGGAGGCCATCAACACGTCCTTATGCAGTCGGGACTGTGGCTTTCACCTCAGGGGGATGGCGGCTTCTTTTACTGACATTATTAGAGCGAGGTCTTGAAACTACTTCTTAATACCCTTTGCTCTCATTGTCATGCTTATTCAAATATCCACGAATTGACTTCTGATGTCAAAGTGGCATGATATTAAGCATAACGATTTTTGTAAGATCGAATTGCTGAGGGGTGTTTCAGGCAGGATTGAGTTCATTTATTTAGCTGCAGGGGGATCTATGTTGTGCTTTTTCTTGTCTCTGAATCTCTATTTTTCTATTTCTGCGCCTGTTTCTTCTCACATGAGTCACTGCTGTCCAAAGAAAGTAGATCATGTGCCATAAGTAAAATCCATTGAAATCAATGGAATTTGTTTAATAAAGATGGTTAGGATTGCAGTGTCAGATGTTACAGGGTTGTGTTATTTTTAAATTTAAAAACCCTTTTATATAAACCCTATTATTTTCTAATATCCATTCTGAGAGTTTATACACTATTCTGATAGCTTATGCTAAAGAATGGTATATAAAGGCTTTAAATAAATGATTTAATCAATGGTTTCATCAGATGCTACCTAAAGAGGCTAACTCAGCCCTGCAAATGTGCCTCTGAAACTTACTAGCTGATAAAAACTTACTAGCCTATAAAAAATTATCCTCCACTAACCCACATATATTTGTAATATGTGGCTGAAAAGATGGAAACTATTGTAATACTTATCTTCTTGGTTGTCTGGAGGTAATTTTCACCTGGCACACAGGCTAATTGACTGTTTACAAGTCCAACAGGGACCTAGTTCTCATGGCGTTATAGCCCATATGCTAAACAACACATAGACTGTTGTGCACAAGTGGGGAAAAAGGAGCTAAACTTTCCTTGTTTGCCTGTTTTTTCTGCTTTTAATCAGCAGCCTACCAGGACTTCCTCTAGGTCGCGTATTGTGACATCTGAACCCAGAGTGCTGGGGCTCAGCAACCTGTCAGTTAAACTAACAGGAACACACTCTGGTTAACTGCTGGTTTGTTTAGCCCCTAAGCAACCCAGGGGTCTGTGTTAGACAATATGCTCAGCAACTTATGAGGAAATTGCTCATGGGATGTTAATTAAAAGTGAAAGTGTTTAAGCAATGGATTATTGTGTGAACTGGGTCCTAGTTTTCCCATCTGCATTGATGTTTTCTGTTTTGATATTCTGTTAGCTGTTCTTTCATTACTTAGTACCAAGTAGATTTCTAGAAATGTCCTGTACTACTTTGCACTGAGAGTGGTGGCAGTTGAATAAATGACTAGAATGGAAGAGGACTGAAACTTGGGTTGTGTGGAGGAGTATGATTTGGGATTAAATGAAAATTCTATTTCAGCAAATGGCAACAGCAAGCTGACTCTTTGCAGTGGGAGTTTTCTTTAAAAAAAGATCGAACCTTTGCCCATACTTAGAAAACTTTCTAGTTATTTGTTCTCTCTGAGTTTAGAAAGAAGATGTGTATTTGTTGTGGAGGCAGATATTCAGCCAGGGATGCATGTAAGTAGTGGGTGTAGAAGGCATACATAAAGATATGGAAGGTGTTGATTGTCAGCTTTATACCATATTTTCCCAAAAATAAGACCTAACCAGAAAATAAGCCCTAGCATGATTTTTCAGGATGCTCGTAATATAAGCCCTACCCCCAAAATAAGCCCCAGTTAAGATCTTCAGCCAGGCGGACGGGGAAACACGGTAGTACGTCTGTTGCAACACACGATGGATGTACTGAATTATGAATCATGTTAATATATAATTAAATATAAATAATATTGTTGACATTACTACTTAAAATAAATTATAATATACATTATAACTAAGTATCTGTAAATACCCAAGCGGGTGCCTTTGGACGAGAGGTAAATGTCTGTGTAAACCAGGGGTCTCAAACTCGCGGCCCGCGGGCCAATTGCCGGGAGGGGTGGGGCACGGGGGAGGGGCCCTGCGGCCTTCGAAGCGCCAGCGGCGCCCGGGCCGGCCGTGCGATGAGCAGCCCACCACCACCGTGGTGGTGGAATACTTGATGTGGCCCAGCCTCACCCAGACTGCCCCCAGGTAAGTTGAGTTTGAGACCCCTGATGTAAACAGATGAACTCGAGACTCATTGCCAAATGACCTATTTGTGTGTTATTTGTGTGTACAGACAGAACACACAAATAACATGCACACTTGATAACGAATGGACGTGTTTCATAATTAATACACTTGTGTGTTGCCACTCCTGCCTCGTAAGTCTTCAATTAACACTTGATTTAATAGTAGATTTAAAGGGAATAATATTTTGACCCCCAGACAAGATAAGTGCAAAAAAAAAAGAGCTGTTCCATCGAGTACAAGAAAGGAATCGTGGAGGACTTATGGGGCAAGAATCTTACAGCTTTCATAAGAAAAAATAAGACATCACTTGAAAATAAGCCCTAATGCATCTTTTGGAGCAAAAATTAATATAAGACCCAGTCTTATTTTCGGGGAAACACAGTAATGGGAAAATTATGCATGAACAGGAATAGATATGGGTACATGATCACACATATCTTGCCAAAAGGGTCAGTGTATTACATAGCCATGTTATATTACTGTGCTCAACATTTTATAAATGTTACTGAAAGATGTTTTATATCAAATTCTTCATATTTTAAAATCTGTTTATTTTAAAACATCTGAATCCATAATAATAAATTGAATGCACTATTGTTGATCATTTGGTTTTGGAATGCAGACATCACCTACATGTCTACAAATTGTTTATCCACAAAACAGTGTGTCTGTATACCCGAAGTAATAGGGACAACAGAGTGAGAAAGCTGTGATGCTTCAGATATGAATAGACTCAACCTGAAACCGTTTTTTTCCAATAAAGTTGCTATATGGTCAGTGATATAAGCAATATTTTAACCTCTGTGATGGTTGGGAGTAGTCAGGGAAGAGAAGCCTATATTTAACAATACAAAATTCCTGCTTAGAACATTATATAGCACATAATGCACAAGCTGCACATAAAGGATATTTTTGCTGCATGTACCAAATTTTCAGCAATTGTGTACAGAATGAAAGGCAGCAAAGAGAAGCAACAAATACTGTTCATGTGGAAACTTTATGCTCATGAGTACACTTTATGCCAGTCCTCTTCCGGCTGTACTGGCTGCTGGTTGATATCCAGGCCTGATTCAGAGTGCCAGTATCAATATTCAAAGCCCTAAACAGCTTGGGGCCAGGTTATCTGAAGAATATATGTACCTGCTGGACCCTGAGGTCATCTTCAGGGGTCCTTCAGGAGCCCCTTTCAAAGGAAGTGAAGTAGGTGGCTACAAGGAGGAGGGCCTTTTTGGTTGTGGTACCCCAGTTTTGGAATGAGCTTCCTAAAGAGGTGCACCTGGCACCTACTTGTATTCTTTAGGGACCTGTGAAGACCTTTTTATTTTCCCAACGTTTTAACTTTAACTTTTTTAAAATATGTTCCAATTTATTTTCTACTGCTGCTATGCTTCTGTGCTGAATAATAGCAATTGTTATTATGGATTTGGTTTTTTTTTAATTAATTTGTGTGTATGTATCTTTTTAACTTTTGTTTAATTTTAATTTTTGTTAACCACCCAGATAGCATCAGCTGTGGGGCAGTATAAATAGGAAATAAATAAATACTGGTACTGTAAGTACTATGTCATATCACTGAAGCTCTGCTTAGTTCGTTAAGGTTTTTTTTTTTTTTCATTCTTGTCTGCATATGTTTTTGTTTGCCCTTCATTCCATTCCATTTTGTGATTTCTTTGTCTCCCAGGATGCATTCACAGCATTCCACCTTCACAAGGCACAAGTGAGTAAGTTCTTGAATGCACTGCTGATAGGGGAACTGGCACCAGATCAACCTAGCATTGAGGCCAGCAAAAATGTGAGTGTTCATAAAATGTCAGAAGTGTCTTTTTTAATAGCAGAGAAGAAAAATCAGATTTCAATGTGATGCAAATATATTGTGTATATTACATGGTACTGTTGTTCAGTTCTAGGATAACTTAATGAGCAATTCATTTACATTCAGTAGTAAAAACTAAAACCATCTAATGACTGAAACAATATAGCAAGCAACCAAAAATATAGATTCTTTCCTGTATTTGCTTTTGATTAAACATTTTCATTTTATTTCATTTTACCCAAAGTACAGTATTTTGTACTGTGCGATGCAATGCTGGGAACAATTGATGGCAAAAGAAGGGGGCAACAGAGGATGAGGTGGCTAGATGGAGTCACTGAAGCAGTCGGGGTGAGCTTAGGTTGACTCTGGGGGATGGTGGAGGACAGGAAGGCCTGGAGGAATGTTGTCCATTCACCATGGGTGAGAAATTTGCTGGGTTCACATTTTAATGCACGATTCCCCAATATGCATCTTCTGGAACTTAATTCAGACTCATCGCACACTGAAAAAACAAAACATTTTACAGCATGCATACATTAGAAAAATCTGTACATGTCTAAATTATACAAGTCTTACTTTTACAGGAAATAAGATGACTAGCAATTTGCAAGCTTGGAATTCTAACCCTGAGACTGGAAAAAATCAGTTGCTGGTGGCAAAGGGGATCATTTGGTTTTTGTTATCTAAAACTTTTACATCTTGGTTTACTAGAATTTATTTTAATGAAAACTGTTGTATAGAGGTGTGCTTCAGGATTATCTTAAAAATAATGTGGGATGTTCAGGGCAGGAAGCATTGTAGTTGTAATAGAGTTGACACACAGCTCCCTAGCCATAGATGTTTTCCATAATTTTATAAACTTTTATGTTGAGAAGAGATTAGCCGCATAAATGCTGGCATAGATCATAGTCCTATGCTGTGGACAGAGGGAGACCATTTTTGGCATCTTTTTATTGAAACCCTCAGTGCAGTTTGAAGCTTTTCCCCATGCTGTAAGCAGTGCCAAATATATATATGGACTGAGCAGGCTGCAGGCCAGGGCCTCATAATCTAGCAGGGCCTTGGCCTCTTGCTGATTTTTTAAAAAATTCCCATTGATGTTATTTCATTTGTAACAATAAAGATCAGGGCTGTACCCAGGCGAAAAAATCATTTTCTAGACTGAAAAGGATAACGAATGATCTGCAGTTAACAGTGGCCCAAGATTGGTTGTCTGATCTAAGCATTCTCTGCATAGAAAATTAGTAAGTTTGCATCCAAAAAAGCTTGAAAGAAACTGTTCTGACTTTGTATATAGTGAAATGTTATAACATAGCTATGATTCCTCTATAAATGTTCTGTGTAAATGTCTTCAGTAATTCCGTACTTTTGTAACCTTATTAAAGGTTATAAATTTATAAACAATCTTTTTATTGGCTCTAAAATTTCAGCAATTTCCCACTTTTATTGAGTAGAAAAAGAAGAGAATGACGTTTTATTTCTCATGACCAGATGTTATTAAGTTTGGACCTTCCAAGGTCTCCTAGCCCAGGGCCTCAAATTGCTTTTATCTGGGACTGGCCATAAGGATAACTGCAGTGCTTGATGATGGGATTAGTGTATGGCAGAGGTGCAGATCCTCTGACCTGCAAGGCTCAGCAATCCAGCCTGTGCCACCTTTTTGGGTCCCTTCAGGGGGCAGGCTTAGGCTGCAAGCTCCACCCCCTAGAGAATGTTCCTCAGGGGGCATCCCTGCCACTATCTCCAATCTGGAAGTAATAGGAGAGGTTCCCCTGCTGGCCTGACCCAGCCAAGGAGCCCTCACCATTCTCTCCAAGTGGCCACCATTTCCCCCACACTAGTGAGTCCCAATCCTGCTGTGATGAGGACGGGAGGTGGCAAGGATCTGGAATTGCTGGTGCAGTTGAAAGAGAATGTGTGTGCAAGTTTCAACTGTCAATCAAGAAGGGAATGTGATACCAGTGGGCAGCTCCACACTCCTAACTTGATACTGGGGGTGGGCCAATACTCCAGCCCCCCACCACAAAACAGTTTTGAGCTGTGAGTGTGTGATTTGCAAGAAGATTTTACAGCACTTTTATTCTTGAGCGCTGGCTGGACACCACACCCTCTTCCTCCTTCAGAATGCCTCTCAGCCCCAGGAGGACAGGGAGATGAGGCAGAGTGTGCAGCAGCTGGGAACTTGACCGAGCTGCTTGCTCTACCTTAAAAAAAGAAGGGGGAAAAGGGTTCTACTGTTCCTGGTAAACTTGTAGGCCTTGGGAGGGGACATCATTATTGCTTGTGAGAGGAGGTTGCTTGGAGTTGTCTGTGTGTCGCTTGGAGTTTATTGGTTTTATTGTGCTTGGGTGGGGTAAGGTTGGGAATTCACCTTGTGTGTTGCCTGGGATTTTTTTTGTGGAACGTTGCCTCGTTTTTGTGTGCAGGGGCAGGTCGTTGTCTGGGTTTTTGTGAGAAGTGCTGTCCCTGATGTTGGAGTGAGGATGGAGGTTGCCTGACTTCTGTGTACTTTTTATCATGCCTGCATACTTTGCATACTTTGCCTGGACCTTATTTTTTGGGAGGGGGACATATTGCCTGCGTCTTGCAGGAGGGGGTGTTCATGGCATGGTATGCTTTTTGTTGTTTTGTTTGTTTTTTGAAGGGGCTGTACATTTCCTGGGTTTTGTTGTTGTTGCAGGGACCTTGTTACAGGGACTTTTTGGGTGGGGTCTGTTTTGTTGGGACTTTTTGGTTGGAAAGATTGATTTTCAGGCTGGTGTTCCTTGATGTCAGATCAATCTATTTCTCAATCACCCTGTTTTAGTAGGAGGCTAAGTGCTATCTTTACTAAGTACATTTCATCCTTTACATCCTTCCTTTCTGTATGTATATATACTTGTAAGATGGTAGTATTTTGCATTTGGCACAAAAGAGAACTGCTCTTTGGGTTTTCCCACAGCAACTGCTAGTCCAAGACTTCCGGGAGCTGCGGTCCACTGTTGAGAAGATGGGACTTCTGAAGCCAAATAGCCTTTTCTTCTTCCTGATATTCCTTCATATCATGCTGTTGGATGTTGCTGCTTGGATGACCATCTGGTACTTTGGGACTTCCTTAGTACCATTCCTCATAGGTGTTGCACTGTTTACTACTGCTCAGGTATAATGCGGAAATTGCCATATTATATTCACAATTAGTCTGCTTTCCATATATTGAGAATTTCAAGAAATCCACGAGTTTATCTAATTTGGAATACAGTCTAAAGAATTTACAGTTAGCTCCTTGTAGCTCTAGGTATGTTTTTTCCACCTTGATAAGACATTTTGGGGTCATGGGGAAGTTTCCAAAGATTTTTGCATTGTGATATAGGTTGGCTGGTCTTTCAAGGTTGCATTTGACCTCAAGTGGCCATAGCTTAATCTTTCAGTATCTTGGGAGCCTCTGCCCAAGGAAACTAGCTGGCTACAGGAGAAAGGCCCTTCTTTACTCTTGGACTCTCCTTTCCACTAAGGCTTGCCTGGTGCATTATCTTCTACATTATCTTCCTGGCACCAGGCAAAGATTTATTTTTTTCTCACAGGCATTTAGAGATCTAATTCAAGATTTTTATGGCTGTTACTCCTCTACTGTTTGTTTTGTGTTTTATCCTAAATATTGTGTGTATTTTATATTTTAAGAGTTAATTGCATTTTAGTCTTTTAACTAAGAGTTAAATAGTTAAAAGACTAGAATGCAATAAAATATTAAAAATAAACCATGTCTTATGAAGCTGGCTTATTTTAATAAATCATAGTTAAAACTAATCATAGACCATCCAGTTCAAACAATGCTTAACTGTAGTTATTTAAAAATGGAGGCATCCAAATTCCTCTTCATGGCCATGCCAGAGGAAGAGGGAAGTGCATGAGTCCAAGGTTCATACATATAACACTAAACATGTCAATGCATGGTGTTTCCTTACTAATTTGGAATGACTTTTGCTATTATTATTAATTTAATTAAACAGCTGATACAACCCCCTCCCCTAAATGACAATAGGAGCTATTAAATGCTTCAACCTAGAGGGCAATCTTTATCTGGTGCCAAAAGGATAATACAGTTGGTGCCTTAGTGGAGAGATTAGAAACATAGAAACAACGTGTCAGAAGGGGTCTCCCAGGCCATTTAGTCTGACCTCTGGCACCAGCCGGCTCCGCTCACGACATGCCCACCATGTGCACGTCCAGCCTATCCTTGAACACCTGCCCTGATGGGGCCTCAACGACCTCTCGTGGAAGCCCATTCCACACCCTCGGTGTCCTAACTGTCAGGAAATGCTTCCTGACATCCAAATGGAACCTTGACTCCCTGAGCTTTGCTCTGTTGGAATGTGTCCTGCCTTCCTCTGCAGGGGAGAACAGGTCTCTACCCATCTCCGTGTGACATCCCCTCACATACCTGTATGTCGCCAACATATCCCCTCTGAGTCTCCTCCAGGCTGAAGAGACCCAGTTCCCTCAGTCTCACCTCATACCCCATCCCCTGCAAACCGGCCACAAGGTTGGTGGCCGGT